TAATTATCTGCTAATTCCGATCAATTAGTAAGTCACATGCTAATTATTAAACTAGTTTCTTTAAAGGCTAGTGAAATGGTTCTATCAAATACTGTCAGTGATGGGCTGTTCATACAATGCTAATTATGAGTAATTACAAATACATTTTAATATAATGCCTTGCACGCCGCTATAATTGCAGTAAAGTGCAAATTGAATATAAAATTAAATCACACTAATTTATAGTACATACCTCACCGCACCACACTTCTAAAGATATGTATTTCAAATCTAAATAAATAATGCATTCAATGAGGCATAATAAACTACATAGTACTTAATTGCCCTAGAGAGAAATCTATTTTCCCCGCTTAACAAGGACATATGTGAGAAAATGTCATTGCACCTGCAACGTGTGTAAAGTTAAAAAAATTTTCATACAAATATATGTTTGTACATGTAAGTATGAACACATGTACACAAGTAACAGCTATGTGAATCAAATGCATTGAATGCCGTGCTAGAGACCTTGCGTGCCCTTTATTAGTTAGTTTGAGTCACTCACTCTATACTCTCTAATTGCATTCGAACTAAAAAGTAACAAGCTGTCATTTCATACTTTGTACTCGTGCCACTTCATGTGAAATTTGTTGTCTAAGATTGCCTGTACGGCGAATCAGAATATAGCTTTCGTGCAGATGCCAAGATATTGAAGTACAGTAGAAGCTCACAAATTATAACCACTCTAATTTCAGAAAATTTATTTTAGAGCAAATAGAAAGCAGGACCAGTGATGGGCATATTTAAGTACTTTTGTGCTTAAAGTACCAGTTTGGGTACTAAATACTTAAATACTAAGTATTTGAAGGTACATAAATAGTTAATTAAAAAAAATTTGGCTATTTACAAGCTGCTAAATATTAAAGTAACAAGTAAGAAAGTCTAAGTTCGGGCGGAGCCGAACATTAAATACCCGGCGCAAGTATTAAATATATGTTTTCCACCTTTCCGAAAGCTACCGCTACATGATAAGCCGGGGTGTATACATTTTAAGTAAATTAGCGTCCTTAAATTTCGAAATATTGAAATTTCAAGCATATCTGAAATTTACCGTTATATGAAAAGCGGCCTCAATTTTAGTCCGATTTCAACAATTTTCAACGGTTTGCTTTTATGTGGCAAGCACAATAACCATACCGAGCTTGGTACAAATTGCTAGAACGGTTAGCGAGATACATATATGTGATCACAAGCGGGCGGTGCTACGCCCATTTTCCAAAATTTTGTCATAAACGTATTTCTTGGTAAAGAATTGTTGCAATCATCAATTTTGAATAAATTAGCTTCAATATTTACTGATTTATCGAAGATTTTGTATTTCTCGAAATTACCGTTATATGGGATGTGGGCGTGGTTATTGTCCGATTTTAGAAATTTTCGGCCATTTGGTATGCTGTACCAGGACCAACAACTGTGCCAAGTTTGGAAGAAATTGGTGTAGCGGTTACCAAGATATACACATGTAACCATAAGTGGGCGTGGCTACGCCCATTTGCCAAAATTTTGTAATATTCTTATTTTTCGTCTAAAACTCATTGCAAATATCAATTTTGAGTGAATTATCTTCAGTAGTTACTAAAATATCGCAGTTTTCGTTTTTCTGAAAATTACCGTTATATGGGAGGTAGGCGTGGTTATTGTCCGATTTTTCCCATTTTCAATACCATCCGTCCTACGCCCGAAAGAAGTACACGTACCAAGTTTCGTTAAGATATCTTAATTTTTACTCGAGTTATCGTGTGCACAGACGGACGGACGGACGGACGGACGGACGGACAGACAGACACCGCTTAATCGATTTCTCTTTTCATTCTGATCATTTATGTATACATTTGTCTATATCTATCTCGATTCGTTTTGGCTGTTACAAACAACCGTTATGTGAACAAAATTAATATACCCTTGTGCACAAGTGCGGAAATCCAAAAATTTCGAGGTAGTCTCAAAAATGGCCTCGAAAACCTGAAATAGTGCCGAAAATCGAGAAGAAGTCCCAAAGACCCGGAATAGACCTGAAAATCTCGAAGTTACTTAGTTTTATACTAAAAAAAAAACAAGTGTTTAATCAAATCAAAATAAGTAGTTGCCATTGTCAAGAATAAAAGAAATAGTAATTCAAAATTAAAAAAAAAACTCGCTGAAAAATTATTTATTTGTTTACAGTCTACAAAGTTGAATTTGCTCAAAACATTTGGTTCTAATAAACTGGAAGAGCCTAAATTCTGATAGTTCTAATTTGTGAGCTTTTACTGTACTGTGTATGTAATTGCCATTGATTGTTAAGGGCAGTAGTACTACACACAGCTTATAAATATATATGAAAATACTTACCTACCTATAAATATGTAAATATGTAGTTTAAAAAAAAAAAACTATTTGCGACTGGCATTTAAGATAAATTATTCCGTTTGAAATGAACAGGTTAAAACAATGTCGAACATCGCAGTAAATGACTTACGTGCCGAACAAAGCGTACACAGCTAAAATATCTTTCCCAAGTAATTTCGCTTTCCCTTGTAGAATATGGAATTTTTTAGTCACTCGAAGTCTAAAACTTCTACTACATACACAAATTTAGTATGCACAAAGAATTTATGCTGTCATGTTGCAGTTATTGCCTACTCTTAGGCGCATTACGGTTGAATAGCTTTAGCAAGTTAATGCAAACGCCGGGGCTAGCATGGCTGTGGATAATTCAAATCAAAATAACAGTTTTCGATTGGTTTATACCGGCTTTAGGACACATGTGCTTAGATTTAAGTTGTAGTCAATGGATAAAACAGCTACACAAAGATGCTTTTCGATGGTGCCGCCAAATGTGGATCGAATCCATTTTAAAGTATATTTGTATGCACATTGTTCAATACCAGTCGAAAATGTTGGCATACTTATCTTAAACAATGCAAACAATAGCTTCAGTTTTGCAAAAAGAACATGATTCCATCGCAAAATTGTATTTAAATGAAAACTAAAAAAGAGATACTATGTAGTGCAACAAGTAATTTTTAAGCAAAGAACACCACCGATTTCAACTCCCATATACAAATTTAAGATTTTCATTAATTTCTTCAAGATTAAAAGTAATTAAAAATTGGCGTAGAGTATTTTTCTACAGCGTTCTTCACGACTATATATGTACATTAGACTGCATCACTTCCAATACAAAAAAAAAAAAAAAAAAAAAAATCGGTACTGTTTTTCCATTGGAATTTTAAAATCTATTGTATTTTAAGACGTCCACCAAAATATTTCGGAAAAATATGAAGATTTAAGCGAGCTGGACCGATTTGAAAATACCTTCAAAAATAGAGTTTTTTTTTATGAATAGAAATAGTTTGTTAAAGAACTTTTTGAAAAAAGTCTTAATATTTGTCCGAAATATTTTGGTGGACGTCTTAAAATATATACAGGCATGTTCTGAAATTCGAAACTTTGAAATCGAGTCGATTTGCCAAATATGTTTTAATTATATCTGGTGAAAGGAGTGAACATTCACATTGAAAACTGTAAAAGAAGCAGCAGCGATATGAAATAAAACATTTTATTGTGAGATTTGTAAATTTTTAGATTAAAAACCATCAAAGAAATTATCGAAATCGAGTCGATTTCCAATTTTCGAACATGCCTGATAGTAAATTTTGTAATACCGGCGGAAAATCCGCAACTTTTTTTTGGTGATGCAGTCTAATTTACATATGTATATATTAATTTATTCATGTATATAACAATTTCAGAATAAATTTCTAGTGTGCCAATAAAAATTGTAAAATTGGAATTTTTGTTTCGCAAATAATCGTCATCTTATAATCAATGTAATTCTTTTCCATTTGGTGGCACACTAGTTTTATTACTCTTGATTGGTTCGTTTCGGCAATAAGAACATTTTCACCGTTTAGTGCCTACATTTGAAAGTATCTTAAATTTTTAAAATTAATAATTCGTTACATTCCAAAAATTACAAAATAGCTGCGACAGATATTCTGCATGCTGCCATTTTGTTTAGTTTGGTGGCACATTCTGGAAATTTCACAAATGTACTGTATTTAATGACAACTTTCGTTGCCTCTAATATAAATATTCGGTTTGAAAACTTCCCCAAAGTAATCAAAAAAAAAAACAACAATTATGATTTTTTCGAGTGGCAATGGGAAAATGTCTAACTTCGTTACTTTTTCAGCTAAATAAACGTTTTAAAGCTAAAATTGTTCAAATATTTGATTTATGTTTCGTATTGTACTTGTTTCTGGAACTCCATTGATTAAAATATATGCAAGGAGAATGCTTTAGGATTTTTTCTGGCAAGACAAGGAAGTGGGACCCAAAAAAACAAAAAAAAAAGAGAAACAACTCGTGAAATTTGCTCATATACTACTTATGCTTATTTTTGCAAGCATCTGCGCTAAAAATGAACTTTGCCGCACTATTTTGAGCGGCCATAATATTGATCGATTTTTTTTTGTAAATAAAAAACGTCTCTCTTCATGTTTGTTTTCACAAAATAGATTTATTTTCGTTTATTAAACAATACTCGGACTACACAAAAATTCCACAGATGTATGTATGTATTTTAAATTGCTTGTAAAGCTTTTTAGTTCCTATAAATACGCTTAACATTTATGATTAAATATGTCAATAAAAAACACCATTTATAAAAAAGTACGCAGTGGAATACTTCGTAAATGAACTGGCAATAGATTTTGATTTACTTTCTGTCAGTTCTTCATCAAGATAGAACTTTATGCAGAACTACCAATTATTGATTAAATTTTTATTTTTTTTTGAATTAATATGTCGTACCTCTTCTAAGTTGTTGTTGTATATATGTATGTATGTATTTGTCGTTAACAGTAAATATTTAAAAAAATTACATAAAAATTGTCTCCAAAAATTTACATATTCAGCACATCAATAAAAAGTTATATAATTGCAATTCCGTTTAGCTTACAAAAGCAGCCATTTAAGTTGTTGTTTTTTCTTTTTTTTTGTTTACATTACTTATATTTGCAGTTACATTTTGTTTGTGATTTTAGCTCTGATTCGCAATTTGATAAAAAAAAAAATTTATAATTTATATATTTTCTAAACATGTATATATATACAAAGTATTCAATGCTTATTCTAATGATATATGTTGTACATTGTTTATGCCTAACATTTGTTCATTATTTTGCTTTCAATATTTTGTAAAAATTGGCTTTGGGTGAGCATAAATATTTATATTTTTTTTTTTTTTTTGGAATTTATGCTCCCCCCCCCTCAATATGCGTGTCTGCTGTTGTTTATTTAGATATATATATTTTTTTTGTCAATTATAATCTTTTAACCCACATTCCACACAGCTAGTAAAATTTAACCTAAGTTTATGCTTATCAAAAATTTATACATCACTTTTCGTTTACATACATATACATATAGTTATTATCACTTAGTAAATAGTGTGTGTGTGTGTGTGTGTGTGTATATATATAGAAAAACATCTAGCCAAAGAACTCTCAATACTTAAAAACGATCTAAGCACAAGAAATCATAAAGGCATCATAGAAATACAAAAAACAAAATTAGTCTAAAGCGTAATCCAATTCACTTTTCCACACTTATCGTGCCGTTCGCAGCTTCCAGCGCAAGAAGAGATATGCGGAAATTCGCAAAACCACAAAAATAACGACCAGTGCAACAATATCGAGTGTGAAGTTAGCATCGACCATATCCAATTCCTCCAGCGTGGTAAGTGGCGACTTGAAGTGACAGTAGGTCTGGAAGCACTTTAGTTTCTCGCGGCTGTAGCCATAAGTGGCCAAAGCGGTGCCCTCGAAACCATAGCGGATGTACGACAGGTAGGTAATCCAGCGCAGATAGATGGGTATCGCATCGAAGGAAACGAAGAAGCCGGAGAAGAGCAGGAATGGCACAGACATGACGGGCGCCAAGAACACACCATTCTGCACATTCATGGCTGCACCAACAACCAGACCCACCGATTGAGCAACAAATGCGATCATCAAGCAAGCGGATAAGAACATTGCATAGCGGAAGAGTTCCCATGGTTGGGAGGTGAAATAATAGACGATGCTCACGTAGACGACGCAAAATATTGCCTGTAAATAAGAGAAAAAAATGGATGGAACTTAGTTTTTGTAGAGTGCATATTTTTCCAGAGACGCAACACTTACTTGAAAGGGAAGATCAGCAACCGAAATGGCCAGATAGTAGGATTTGAGCGAGTACCAACGATTAAAGTTCTCTTTAAGCAACACCGGCATCTCAAGAGGGACTGCGGGGGAAAAATGAAATTGATTAGATACAAAATGTAAAATTAATGAAATAGAAGAGCGAGTGAGCTTAGCACCCCCCAAAGCTTGGATGTGGAATACATTTGGCATTTTGGCTAGACAAGCTTAAGTATGTGATATATGGTTTGTAGATAGATATTTAGAACGATATTTGCCTCTTAAGTCTAACTATAGGCTTTAACATCGGTTTATCTTATACTATTCAAAAACTAATAACAAACATTTAAAGAAGAAAGATCTGGTGTCCACACAGACAGCTGGTTACCCATCGCTTCGTCCGATCTGGAAGCTACGCGTCCAGGACGTCTTGGCAAGGGATCGTGCCGAATGCCTTCGACAGGTCAACCGCGACGTCTCATCACTGGGTCGACGTTGGTCCAGACCCGCGCTTATCTGTATTGTGATGGCATTTAATGCTATGGTCGTGCTATGCATTATGCAGAATCCATGTTGGTGTTCGACTAGTTTCTGAAGCTTCGTCAGGCTAAGGAGGAGTATAGTGCTTCCTTTGTCTTTCCCACTGGGGATAGGAGGCAGATTGGCCAGCAAGAGTCTCCTGCGCACGCCTTCTTCCCTGGCTTAAAGAGGCGAATGATCCTACCCGTTTTCCACATTTCGAGAACGATAAGGGTGGACAGCCGCCCTCGTGGACACCATCGAAGCAGCCAACCACTACTACAAGGCAGGAACACAAACAGCGTCATGCACAACAGGACCAAGGACCTATCATTAGCCTGTAGTACAGTGCCCAGACTCCCAAAATATACGAAACCCTTACAATTTAACTGCAACAACGACACGGTATACATTCGACATCGACCGAAGGGATACCACCCTAAAATGTCAGTGCATAGCTATCCGGTTAGACGTTGTCGAGTTCAAAATAATCAACGTTTAGATATAACCCTTTACACCTGCTGGCCGTTACTATGTCACCCTGCAATAAAAAGGTGCACCCAGCAGAGGAGAAAGCCGGATGGTAAATAGAAGGTGACTTTAACACAAACACCATGAACTTTGTTACAAAAGCCTCACAAAAGATTGTAGGGGACTTTAATTCGCTGATCAGATAGATCGATCTGACATTCTGCAACAAGCACGCCAACGCTCCCACCAGGATTAGGAGTTGTTCCAGCAGCTCAGTTTACCTAACTAAATGGCTAGTGTGAGAGTAATAAATAGCATAACGTGGTAATCTATGTCACCTACAGCAGATCATCTTCCCATAATCATTTCAATCCTATCTCCGCTTTCATCAAACAACTCGAGATGTAGAGCTTCGCAAAGTGGTTCGCCAATTTAGAGAATCAAAAACTGGTAAATTAACTAAGCGGATGAAGCAGAAAGCAGTGATGCCAGACATTCTCTGTTAAATATCCCACGGAAATGGGGGAAAAATCCCTCAATTACCCACATCTTGAAAATTTATCCCACAAAATTCCCAACGAATTTAAACATATACATGTTTCAGTAGTAAAGAAGTAAAATTCATATAAAATAATAATAATAGTTTGGCGCTTACACATATGTGCTTTTCCTCCAATTTGTGGCGGTCCCCTTGATGTTGTCACACAAAGGGGAGGGACCTACAGTTTTACGCCGACTCCGAATGGCGAGTGTATTTTTATGAGAAGCTGTTTTTCATGGCAGGAATACACTCGGAGGTTTGCCATTGCCTGTCGAGGGCCGACCGCTGTTAAGAAAAAACCCCTTTTTCTGCATTTTTTTCACTCATTAATTTTTTCCCTTTCATTTTTTTGCTCACTCACTAAGGGCTTAAAAGAATTTTTTGGTGACTTTAAAATTGAAGCACATTCATGAGCTATTTAACATTTCATCAGATAATTTGTTCCGCTTTTTACATGAAACACCAGTTACAACTGAAAAGATTCTTTCTTACTCAGTGCTTGAATTGGTTAACGTAAGAAAATTTTCGAAATTGTCCTTATACTTTTTAACAATTATATACCATTTCACTCCACATCACATCTTCAGAACGATTAATTACGTAAGAATGTCGAATATTCTTGAATTTTGATCAATTATGCAACAATAACTGCGTCAAAAGAAAATCTCTTATTTATATGAAGTGTCCCTTTTTTCTCTTTTAATAATTTTTGATGCAAAATATCCCTCAAATAGGGAAATTACCCACAATCTGGCATCACTGGCAGAAAGAGCACTTGAAGTCCACGTAGCGCGGGGTAGGATGAAAATCACATTCAGTGATAGTTAACACTTCCCCGGGCTCAAATATATGATATGGCAATCGTCGAGGGATTAGAAATTTGTACAGCCTCTTAGAACCTAGAGCGTCTCTCACTTTCATTAGCAATCAAGTTCAAAATGCCCCCGGAAAGACAAAATCTTCCGAAGTCATTGCTTATGACAGTATATGCATGTTGAAGATAAAACACTTGTGTTCGGCGGGATTAGAGTACGGTAGTAGCCTGTCGTTGGCTACTCGTAATATTCCTGTAATATTTTTCGAGGCCAAAGATATTTAACATCAAAACCATTTAAGACTAAAAGTGAATGAAAAATACAGCCCCCATCATGGGATACATTTCTGCTTGCAAACAATAGGGCTATACTTACATGACAGAATCGTTATGGTCATCGAAGTGTACATCAAGAACAACATATTGAAGAACAGGAAACCCAGATTGCTCAAAACTTTAGCGCCATCATTGCCAATGTCATAGTAGAGTGCGCCAATAAGGAAGCCAACCAACAAATGAGCAAATAAACGCAAGTACATAAGAGTCTAAAACAAATACGGCAAGAATTATTGTACGCCTAAAAGTATGCAATCTCACGCGTGCAAACACTCACCCAATCGCGATAGCTGAAGAGCAACGTACGCCGTAACACAACCCAGAACTGATGGAATTGCGATGTGGGATAACGTTCCGGCGAAGTAATCTCCTCCGACAGTAGTGCCGTTGTACAATTATCCGCCTTTTCAACATCAACTATCGCATCACCCTTCTCATTTGTGCACACCACTGGCACAGCAACACTACTTGAAGACGCTGCAGCCGCCGATACATTCGAATTCTTTACGATATCATTCACCAGATTGCCATTTAAAATTCCATTGTTGAGCGTTAGATTTTCCTCATATTTACCACCGCTCGCCGTATTCGTCGTGGCGTTCTTATCCAACATTGTCTTTAAATTGTGTACTTTTACCAAATCATTGCGCATTTTTAGTCCCTCGTAATCAGCAACGGTGCGTATGTCCTTCTTGCCATTGTCAATGGCTTCGACCAGTTTGCGCGTGTGATCGCCATGTTCGCCACAGGCAACCTCGATAACATAACTCGCCGGATTGTGGTAACTGGGACATTCCAAGCCGAGCGTCGAGAGGAATGGCACCAACTGCTTGGTGCTACCCTGATAGACACACTGGCCATCGGCTAGCGTATACAGTTGATCGAACATTTCGAAGAGACGTGCTGATGGTTGATGAATGGTACAAATGATGGTGCGTCCGCCAGCGGCCAACATCTTGAGCAAGTGTATGCATTGGAAGCAAGTGGAGCTGTCCAGCCCAGAAGTAGGCTCATCGAAGAACATAATCGGTGGATTGCTGACAAGTTCCAGAGCGATGGAGAGACGTTTCTTTTGGCCGCCAGATAGATTGCGTGTTAGAGTATTGCGATGTTCGCTCAAGCTAAGTGTGAGTAGAATGTCATCGATCTGAAATGAAGATGGAGAATAGAATGAGTTATGGGAATTGTGTGATTTGAAGCTCATTCAGACTACTTTTAATGCCTGCCTTGTATTATGCCACCGAACAGCAACCCATAATATTTAAAAAATCTATTTTGGATATAACAGTCAGGCCAAATCAGAGGAGATCCTCCTCGCTGAGACCTTTTGACGTTAGCATCAAGCGCTCGTTATTTTAGTTAGCTGTAGTAAGTGCCACGGTTCACCCTAACCGGAATCAATGGATCACTCATTATTCCTTAATGTCTCGCACCCGTCGATAGCACGGTAAAGTAGCTGTGATACTCTTTATATTCTGATCGAGAGTTACTACAATGAAGTGACCAAGAGATCTGAAAACCATAGACTCGCTGTAAGCACGTCTGGTTCTTATAAATTTGTCTGGTTCAATCCCTCCATCAGAGGCGTTAATTGGCGCTTTCCGATAGAGTCAATTACTTGGGCTTGCCCACAGTTAGGAAGATGTAGTAGAAGCCTAACTTTGAGAAAATTGGTAAGAGATGTGGACTGTCGCCTATAATATTTCCGATTTCCCTCCTCGTATGGTGTAATGCGCTGGACAAGACCACGCCAGTCGAAAAGCTGTAGGAAATAGTGGGGAACTTAGGGCTGCTGTGGCAAGGGCTGCAGAGAGACTAAAGGACACTGGATGCTTAATTGACTAAGGACCTGGGTGCTAAAATAAACTTGATCACTGAACATTTTAGACTGTCCTACTCTCGACTTCTCTAAGGGGCAGACAGTTGTTGGAAACAAGCAGGGTTGAACTTTTTCGCAAACGTGTCGGAACTCGACACAAGGGTTGGTGGAAGGGCACCCTCGTTTCTTCGGCGTTCTCAAAGTTAGTCAATAAATGCCTGACCTCTCTTTCGTGTATTTGTGATTATTTTATGGTTACTTTAATATTTGTGGATACTATGCCATGCCATGATATTGCAAAAAACCTCATGCTGTATAAGCTGGCCAGAAAGGGCACCGTCGAGATGATTTCATTGAGATATGAAGTACCTGGAAGCACCTTTTACTAACCTATGTACTACACTCGCACAGTTGGAACGCTTGTTACCTCAGCGAGAGCTGCGCGGAACTCAGATAACGGCTTTTTTTAAAGTGCGTTTCCGAATTGATATATACATTTATGGCTTCACAGTTGCAGATCAATTCTTAGGCAAATGGGCCTAAGGGATTTAATGCTGTCTGACTATCCGACATAATATTTCTTTCGCCCATTGGTTATTCCACGAAAACATTCTCGAACACATTTCCGTCGGTATACCATACTTGGGGCTAAACGTCAATCCTTGATATTATCGCTTCAAAGTAGTCCATTTCAGGAATTCCGCCTTTGTAGGGCTTGTTGAAGAACAATTTCGGTATCATAATATCTGTGAGCTTGATAGCTGGATCATTCAGGAATGTCGTCAGAATCTCCAAGTGAACCCGAAGATGCCCAGTTTTTATGTAGCTTACATTGGTCAGCCGTAGGGCGTACCAGGAGGCCTCCTTTACAATCAGAACAGACCCTTGCGGAATGCCTGTAATAACACCAAGGGTATCCGTAGTATGTTCAAGGTGGCATCCGCGCTTTCTTGCTCAATTTCTGGTCACTAGGCCAGTGCCGCATATGTAGAAATGAGTTTTATGACAATGGTGAAAGACTAATAGATACGTGAGTTTGAGTGATATTGCGCAAGTTGTACCATGTAGATTTGACAAGCATAAAACGCCCTTATAGCCTTGCTGATAATATTTGAAAAAGGGGAGTTCCAATTGAACCCCTTATCCGGAGTTATGCCAAGATACTGAGTCTCTCTTGAGAAATGAATTTCTGTCCCTGGCAAGGGGGTCTTGTTAATTTGATTCTATTGGTTAATGGAACAATGGTGGACTTCAGTGTGTATATTGACTATCCCTTTCCAGCACACCAGTCTTCCACTAATCTGAGCGCAGCTTGAAATCTGGAGCAAATGGTGTCCTCATGCCAGCCAACAAAGCAGATTACTAGCAATTCATCAACAACCACTGTCCATAGTAGAGGCGATAAGACTCACCCTTAAGGACAGCCATGGGTGGTAGGTACTGCTTGCATACTATCTGTTAGTTTCGCTATTATATGTAGTTCTGGATTTCAACATGCTTATGAGCCAACCAGTTAACAGGCTTGAAATATCCATCCTAAACATAGTTGACATTGCTTCGTAAGACGTGTTATCAAAAGCACCGCAGATGTCCAAGTATGCACACAAAGCAATATGTTTATACTGCAATGCCTGTTCAATGACTTCAGTTTGGCTGTGCATTGCATTAACTAATAGTAGACTTGCCTGCCCGATATGCGTGCTGACGCTCACATGAAGGCTTATCCTTAAGGTAGTTATCCCTAATGCGAAATGCTATTAGTTTCTCTAATCTTTTTTTTTTTTTACTAAAAGGGTGCTGAGCCAAATTGTTCAATGCACCTCTGGGATTTGTGTCGAGATTTTCTTAACTTTGGATATAAAGAGCACTTTGACTTCACTTCGTGTTGACGGTGTGGTACCAGGTAAGATACTTACTCTCAGTAACCTGATTAGTGGCCCATTATTAAAAGCTTGCTATGTTGTAGCAGTAATCTTGAAGAGCAAATTTGTATGAACTAAAAGCTAAAATGGTGCACGACGACTTTTCCATACTGAAGATTCTTCCAACCAGGCCTCTTGTCCTTCTGTTAGTCACGGCGCTCACAACGCTTGTCGTATGATTTGAGTCTGGGGGAGTACAAAACGGGAAGTTCATATCTAACAGAAGCTTGCTGGTTTCTTCCGGGAGCCAGTATAGGTACCATCTGGTCTTTTCGCGTTGCATAGCACATCCAGACTTCTGGTAGGGAAGAAATGCTTCCACAGTGTTCACGCCATGCAGCCCTTTTACATCTTCTGATCCCACAGTTGATAGCGATTAGAGCTGACATGTATGTATGCAGTCCAATTCTTCTAATTTCCTGAGTGACACCCTTTGGAGGCTTCTTGGTTTCCAATGGGCAGCACTCTTCAAAAGCTAATTTGAGGACGTCTTGAAATTGTCTCGCCTGGCCTTCAAGTTCATGGATGGTTGTAATTGATGCCGTCGAACTATTCACTTACCGCGCTATACAGAGGCGGAATAGTTAGCTCCCAGTTTGTTTTTCGGTTTCGGTTAAGATATTTGGATTTTTTTTTATCAGGTATCCGGATAGAACACCCAGCAGTTGTGCATTTCTATTTGTTTTTGTGTACGTGATCATCAGAATTTATCTGCCTCAATATAAGAATGTGTCATCTTATCACACGAATATCGTTGTTAAGTGTCAACTTGACAATATAATTAATTTCTTTAGAGAAAACTGCATGTTCGTGCGATTCGCAAAATTACACTGTTCTAGCATACATACATACATACATTTGTATATGAAAATAAACACGCATAAGCTTTGAGAAAACAAAATAATTAACACAAAGTCCAAAAGCAGCGGCGACAACATCGCATTGACTTGCTGGTGCTGTGTTGATTAATTCAGAATTAAAAGCGATTTAAAAATTTTCCTCTACGTGAATACAAGCAGCGGTTTATAAAGCGAAAGCAGATAAAGCGCACAGTTTTTAAAGTGCTAAGAACTAGCAGTTTCGCTTTAAGATTTTTGATTTTTATTTGCCTTTATTAATGAGAAAGTACATCGATTTTATTAGGATAAAGGCAGAAGGAGGTCAATATGGCAAATGCGAGGTATCGCGTCACAGGGACATACCAGGAAACTGTGAATCAGACGAACTCGCAAATATAGACACATCCATTTCTGCCGCAAATAACCCCTACGTTGCGGAAATACCGCTAGCATCTTGAATTAGGGCTGTTTTTATAGAGTGGTATGCTTTCTCCCTTGCTTATATCTACGCCATGGCCTACGTTGTGACCAGTCTAATTACAGGCTGTTCTCTTTCAATTGCTTGCATGACAGTTCCAAGAGAACTGCATACGATTTAAAGCGCTAGCAGTCTACGACGTAGCGTAAACGCACGTTGAAATTCGTTCCAAAATACATTATACTTTCATATACTTTCCTCTCGGAAACTCGAAGAGTCATCTTGTCGGTTTTGTTATAGTTCATGCTTCTTCTTTGTCATATAGTTTAACGTGACTATGATACTTCCATTATTCAGTGTGATTATACAGGTAGTTTGTCAAGGGAGAAGTTTTGGCTACATTCCGCTATAAATAAGCATTTGTGCGCCTTGTTCTGCAGAGTGTAGGGTCAGGTCATATGGGATTCCTCAAAGATGAGCACATCCAGCTGGGGTAGCATTACAGATAAACAGCTCTTTGAATAGGACCTCTTCGGGAATGTGAATTATTCTGGTGTTTCCATCTTTCGTTGTTGCAACCGCTGGCCTTTTTTGTCTTCGAATACTTATCAAGTTAGCTTCGGTCTGGCCTTCGTGTGGTAATAAGGCCAACTTTTGAAATTCGTTGTCAGATTATTTCCACCGTAACGTGGCCTATAATTACAATTTCCTCGAGCTTTGCAGCAGTGAAAATTAGAGCCAGATCTTCCGCAAAGCCTACTTGTAATCAAAGACCCCATTTAAGGTTTGAAGGTGCACGTTTTTCTAATCACTGAGGTTTAGTTCTATGCAGTTTTGATTGAAAGAAAATCCAAATAATGTTCAGGAATAGAACCTTGCTCAACTCGCTGAATGAAACGTCGTATTGTCGAAACATTCGACAGTTTGAAAAGCCATTACCAAATGTAGTGCAAATATTTCTGGACACCTTCTATGGAAAATGAACTGTATTAACTCCAGTAGTTAATCCATGGTGCTGAGAAGATAAATAGGCGGGTTTACCTTGCGTTTTGCCATGTTAAGGCAGTGGAATCAGCTTTTGATTCCTTAAAGTATCTCGGAAAGTGTGCACTTACTTATAAGACTCGACTAGATATGGCTAGTGGTCAGAGGTGCATACTACCACTCCGTAGAATGCGGCTTTGATCCCTGGCCCGAGCATCATCTGAATCAGGAAAGTTCTTTCTAACTTTTCTACCATTTTATCTTCATGTAGCAGAGGGTCGCACATGTCCACAGATTCGAGATCAGCTGAACACCGATAGATATATTTATTAAAAATTAAAAATAGTGACTTTGCTAGAGTGGGGCAGTGCCAGAGATAGTGCTCTACACTCTTCACCTCATCCTAGTCCCCGCAGTTACGAAATACAAACCGTCATGTCATGGACTATTCTGCCGACAATGGGGCGATCAATTAGTCAGATTTGCTTAGTTAGTAGCTGATCAGATTGCTTTCTTCGCCCATCGTTCGTTGCCCAATCCAATGAAAACCAATTTTAGTCGGTGTTTACCCGACCCGAAGTGCGAAGAGCTTGAAATGCTGGCAGACAGGCATACGGCTCGAAAATTCTATCAGAAAATTAGGCAGCATTTTAAGACCTGCAAGATGAAGATGGAAATCTGTTAACAGATGTCCTGCGCACACTTGAGATATAGAGGGAACGCTTATCAACACAGGTGGCGCGCCTGATGAAGGAGAGCCCAAACCAATGTATAGGGATGAAGCTCACGTCCCTCTACTTGACCAAGACGAGATGAGAGCAGCATTAAGGTGGTTTAAGAACAAAAAGGCCCCCGGAGCCGGCAGTATAACGGTTGAGCTGTTCAGAGCCGGTGGCGAAGAGTTGTTGGGGCGAATGTGCCAGCTTTTAAGTAGAATTTGGTCTGATGAATACATACCCGACTTCAGACCTGGTAAGTTCACCATTGACCAGATTTTTACAGATCGTCATATCATGGCGAAGACACTGTATAAGCAAATCGACACACACATCATCTTTTTGTCGATTTTAATGCTGCTTTTGATAACACGAAAAGAAGCTGCCTGTGCGACGCCATGTCCAAATTTAGGATAGCCGCAAAACTAATACGGCTATGACGGCTATGCAGGGTGACGTTGAGTACAACCTTGCCAAAACTTCCGGGCAATCCTGTACGATCCATGCAGTTCCACCTCTTCTTGGCCTTCGAGTTATAAATTTCGGTAATTTTTGTCTTTATCTCTCGGAGCGAGGCGCCCATGTCCGCGAGGGACACATTCACTGTGAAGCAACTCCTTGCTAGTTCGTCAGCTGCTTCATTTCCGTAAATTTTCCTATGTTCCGCGACCCATATTGGGGTAATTTCGTACTGATTAGAAATGTAGGCCAGCTCTTCCCTACATTCATCCACTAGTTGAAATCTAACAGAGGTAGAAGAGAGTGCCTGAATGGCCGCTTGGCTATCCTGCGTTATCGCGAATACATTATCTTTAATATACCTTACTGCCTTCTTAATTTCAAACGTTTCGGCTCGGAAAACGCTGGCATAGTTTGGTAGGCGAAATTATGATTTTAGGTTATATTGCTCAATGAAAACTCCTGCACAAACTTTGACCCGTCCTGCAAGAATTCGACCTTAGATTGATTGCAGTCATTGCGGCCTAAAAAATTCGTGCGGGTTAGTGGTGAGCCCAGTTCTACGACAGGATATAGTCAATGGGCAACGCTTTAATTTTAGACGGTAGTGCGTTAGGATGGAATCGTGCCCGCACGGTCTTTTATTTCAGTACCCCAGGGCGTCAGTTTGATGGCGCTGTCAGCACCTGAGTTTTCGATAAAGATATCTATGGGAAATATGTCTAGAAGAACAGGATCTCATTGCACCTTTTATGCCAGCGGCTGCTGACCTCCGAATTCCGCTTAGCCTTTTAACTACGTGATCCTTAGTAGGTGCTGACTACCAGACCAGTGCCACGTAAGTAATGATTTCACGTATGTCCGAAGGAAACTGACCCGATAACAATATCGCTACATAATCGGCGTAAGCCGCCGCCTTGGTGCTCTGAGAGTCTCAGTATTTAACCTCGGTAGAGAGGGGGGTGGAAAAGACGGTATTTTATATGTATGTATCTCCTTGTGAATAGAACCATTTCGGTGCTAGTGGAATTAAACTTGAGTCCACTCTACCTCCCGACAGCTATTCACGGGACAGAGAGCGCTGTACAAGAGTTCGCTTAGCATTTGGAGATGCTTGCTCGCTGCTTTGAGTTCAATATAGTCACGAGCACAAGCGTGATTCTGAGTAAATCCAATTAACAACGCGTGTTCACAGCCACTTGTATGTTGGCGTATGTGCGTCATCAAATGACAGCAACAACGTTCTCGAACAAGCGTGCGTAACCTATGTAAATGCCCCTATATATATATGTATATTGTTTTTTTCTTTTTGTTGGTTTTGTTTGCAAATGTGAAAACAGGTTTTTCAAATTTGCTGGCAGCATTGCGATAAAGGCAGCGCAGAAAAATTTTAATAATTTTTTTATAACCGTTCAGTTCTTTTATGTACATATGCACGAGTGTTATGAATTTTTTCTTTATAATTGACAGCAGACACAAGTTGGGTACATTCAACAAAAACTTATTGAATTGAAATGTTTAATATGCAAAACGCTGGCGGCAGCTATGCAAAAACCAATCAGCTTTTAGCCGGTAAATCTTTGGCTAGTATTTATGCAATATTATGTAAAAACGAAAATTTCTGACAAAAAAATTTAGACTTTCGCTTACGGTAAAAAAAAACCAAAACAGAAGATATCAGATTATTTTGTAGACGCAATTATTTATGTTTTTCTAAAAAACATACTGCATAGACTTTTTTATTTACTTTTAAAGTGTATTAAGTGCAAAGAAAAAAAATTTTAAAATTTTCCGTTATTCGACCCTTAGCTTCCTACTTTCGTTTAAGAGAGAGAAAATTCCAAAAAAAAAAAAAAAATCATTTGACACTTACCATTGAGTTCTTCTCCGCCTTTGTGAATTTCTTGCTCAATTTCAAATTCGTTGCTACAGTCATCGCCTCCTGAACGGTTAAATTGCCATGCAATTGATTATCCTGCATAATGTAAGCGGATAATTTGCGGAAAATACTCAAATTACGTTCGCGTCCATTCATCGTGACGACACCTTCGATGTTCGTTGTTCTGTAAAAAAAAAGAAAGTGAAACAAAAAAATATAGATTAAAAATTGCTGCTTATAGTACATATGGCGGGATCCCGCCTTTGTTAAGTCCCGAAAATGCCGGGAATGTAAAAATCGAAAAAAATAAAATCTCTAATGGATATACATACATACATTAGACTTGTCCAAAAAAATCGAAAATGCAAAAAGTCTTTATTTAATATCGCAAATTTCTATTTTCCTGAAATGCACATTAGGATGGTCCAAAAAAAAGGGAAGTCAGAATTTTAACGCTCTCACCTCCTAGTATTGTTCTATACTAAAATAAATATACCCCGGCTTTTTCATTTTGAAATCAAAATATGTTTGGAGGTCGCTTAAACAACACAATTTTTCGTGAAAATGTTAAAGCAGTTTTGAAAATCAATATTTTTCGATCGGAAACTCTGTTTCTCTTTAGAAGACTTCCAGCAATAATACCCAATTGGTTATTTTACCATATCTTAAAACTAACAATTTTTTATGGGTCCCCATTGATTATCTTGAGTTTTTTAGGAGATCTATGTAAAATTGTTGCATAACTGGAAGTCTCTTAAGTAGAAACACGGTTCACCGATCGAAAAATATTTACGAAAAATTCTATTTTCTATGAATATTTTTTGATTTCTAAATAAAAAAAATATACAGGGATTGTTTTTTCGGTATAGAACAATCCTAGGGGGTGAGAGCATTAAAATTCCGGCTACAATTTTTTTTTGGACCACCCTAATGCACATACACAGGGAAGTTTGTTTTTTCAATTTTGAAATGTTATAAAGCGTTTCTAAGTCAAATTATCGGATTGAGCGAAATATAAGCATATATGTATACTTTTGAAAGAAATTGAAGGCTATAAAAAGTCTCTTATGATTTTTCCATAAATTCACTCCACCAAAAGTTTTTCAAGATTAAATATGGAAAATATCAAGCTTAACCGCCAAAATAACGTATATAAGAAATATTAAAAAAAAAATTTTTTTTGATGCAAAAATATTCCTAAAGTATCTAGATGCGTTTCAACATCAAAAAGAAAATTTTGAAAAAAATGTCGCTTACGTTATTGTGGTGGTTAGGTCTCGACTTGTTATACATAAGTAATTAAAAAAAAGTTGTTTTAAGACAAGCTTTGGTAATAGTAAAAAAAGAAAAACCGACCCTCCAACCATCTGACGGCTAAATATTTTGTGGAGGCATTTCTTTCCATTTAAGTAATACATATATCCTCTAAATATTAAACAAATCGGATCATAAATACGGATTTTCCAAATATCTCGACACCTGCGTTACGTTGCGGATTAATTTATCTTTCATGTTACATTGCCATCGGGTTTTGAGCTAAGTTTGTTATTTCAAGTCTCTAGCTCATCAGAAAATTTGTTTAAAATTGATTTAAAAAATTGATTACACACACAGGTGAAACATAGCTTGTAAAAAATTTAAAGAGTTTTATGAATTATCGGCAAAATGTTAAACAAATGTTAAATAATAACCCTATCTTAAAAGTTTGTAGAAAACTAAAAAAAAAATGCCAAAAATTTTCACCTAAATTTCAAACTTTTTTCTCAGAAGTCTTCAATTTTTTTTGGGTATACGGTTGCGGACTCATTCAATTTTAGTCAAATAAAGTGCAAGGTTCAAAGGGCTAAAAATTACCGTTGATTTTTTAGAATCTTTTTTTGCCGAAGATGTTGCAGTTTTCTTCCATATAAAAATAAATTGTGTTTGTTCGTTAAGTAAACGGAAACAAATTCGACAAAAACTGGATACGAAACTGTGTATTCGAAAAAATTCTATCACTTCTGGGAAAAAAGTTTGAAATTTGAAAAAGTTTGAAAGCTTTATACAAATTTTAAACTGGGGTTTATATGAGTGGTGTTAGAGAATGAACTGAATTTTAATTGAAAATTCTTGAAGTGACAAACAAGCAGCTTTGTCATGAGTTTCATTTTCCCCAAAACGGTTAATTTTTCAATTTTGATTTCCATATATTTACTATGGGTGGAATAAAAAATTTCAGGTGAAATTTTTTTAGAACGAAACTCAGAATAAGGCAGATTATCACTTTGAAGAGGGGTGCTATTGATATGACCGATACCGTATGTACTTACATACATACATTAGTGAGCGCCTAATTTTTCAACTTGGGCTTAAAATAAACAACTCCACCAAAAAAAAGTTCGGTCGGTCATAAAAACGTTGCGCTGCAAAAAAATTTCAATATCGCATAAGGTAAATTTACGCTCTAAAAAATGGGAAAATTCATGAAAATTTTTCACAATGTGATACAAGTTGCCTATAAGACAGTGCAAAGTTTAAAAATAAAATAACTTCTCGAATTCTTGAGAATTGTCAGAGAAACACCAAGCCGAATTCATATAGATAAGGCGTTGTTAGTACAACAGCTGATTTGATTTGCATTGGCATAACAAAATTTTGAATTTTTCTTTAAAAAATGTGTGAGAAAGTGAAAGTATTTTCCCTAAGAGAAGAATAGCTGAAAATTGGCATTTGTGTACTAAAAGTAATTTTTTGTTTTTGAATAAAAAAATTTATAGCTCATCAACCTGCAAATGAAATTACTTAACGGCCGGTCTAATGTACATAAATACACACATACATATGCACATATACATATTTCTCTTCTTTAAAAATGCTTATTCATGCCAACTATTAATAAATCAATTGCCATACATATTTTTAAGCACATTTGTCAACATAGCACGTGTTAACATCGTTCTATGCATGTACAGGTGCTACATACATACATATGTATGTAGTTTATTTTATGTGTGCCCATCAAATGATGCAGAAATACATTTATGCCTGACTGTTTACATTTCTATTACCGCCGTAGACGTGTACGATTATATTCCATACATATGTACATATCGCTCATTTACTGCAATACTGTCATAACTCAAAAAACCAAAAGGTCTAAAGAGTTTTAAATGCACATATCGCACACGATCTTCAAAGGTGGCACACAACTCAAAATTACACATTTGTCAGAAAATGCGAAAAACTTTTTCTATTGCTGAAAGGTAAATAAAAAACTCTGTGTATATTTTTAGAGCATATTTTCTAAAATGCTAAAAAATTATGATCGTATCGTCGTTTTGAACAACCGCGTAACTGACATTTTTTTGACAATAATTGGATTTGTTCACCGAAGCCAAGTTCAAACACAACATTTAAACCAGGGACAGTAACAGTTACAAGTTTTATTAAAAAAATCGCTCTTTAACAATTATTTTTTGACTTTTATTTAATTACTCCTTAAATAACCGTTATTTATGACTTTAATCTTATAAAACCAAAATAAAAATTATTTTTGATTTTTATCTAAATAATCTGAAAACAGTTATCGAAGTGTTTTATTTATAAAAGTCATAAATAAAAATCAGTCACTGACCTTTATTTTTTTTATCATAATTATAAAAGTCTTCAATAACTGTTATCTAAGACATATAATATAAAAATAAAAAATAATTGCTATTTTGGATTTATAATATAAAAATCAAAAATAATTGTTATTTGTTTAAATTTTGCATAAAAATTGTAAATAAAAAAATTGATTTTCAAATTTCAGTCTCGGTGAAAAAAGAAAACGATTGGTAGGTATCACTTAGTTGTAGAACATTTCCTTCATAGTGAATTTTTCCATGACAGTTTTCATCAATAACTGTTATGTTCGGTCCCTGATTTAAACATAAAATTCCTTACCTCAGCCGACAGATGTTCGGACGGTCGTCACTTCCTCCTCTGGGAGTACTTTCTGCCCGCATACACCTTTGGGCAAAACTTAGGTGAACATTAGATCAATGAGAGGCTGCCCAAAGGTAGGTATGCATTATCGTTTGCTTTTGTGTTTCATGATAGACGATTTCTTAACGATACAGCAAGGGTATGGTGACAACGACTTTGGGTCGCAGATGTTCCGGTTATCATTGTTACGAGCAAATTCGGCAGTACTGCCTCGAAAGTTGTGAGTTCAGCTCTGTCTGTTGTGGTCTCAAACCGGCGTGCCAATCAGCATAAAGCCGCAAAAAGATCTTCTAGACTTTTTTTCTAGAATTTTTGTTAAAGCAATAATAACCACGTGAAATCTGCGAATACGCTTTTATAACGAAGTAGTTTTGGGACAATGCACTGTGGGAAAGAAGCAACCTCCCGGGCCATAGGATGATCCAGGGACATGCAAACGGGCAGTTTTGGGGGTTTTGCAGTGCATTTCGAGAGCTCTAAATGAACATAAAAAAAGCTTTGGCTGTGAATCTGCAATTTTCAAAACAGATACAGGAATTTTCTAATGATAGTAAATTAGGACTTGTTTCACTGATGGAAACAAATATTTTCTATGGTCGAAAAGGAATCGCAGTTCGGGGTTCAAAACACATTTTCAAGGAGAATTGAAGAAGATGAACCATCGATAAATGTTGGTAGCTTCCGAGCGCTCCTGAAGTGGTGAGCGATAACTGATGGTGACTTAAAGGACCAATTAGAAAACCCTCCAAAAAATTCAATGTGTAAATACATGCTAGGGATGCAAATCCCGGGATTATTTTAAAAATATCTCGAAATCCCTAATACATACATATCGCTAGCTTAGAGTGAAAAGCTGCTAAGCCCACCTTTTATAGAAACTTACATTTTTTTGGCGGAAAGCAAGGAAAATTAAAAATGTATAATTTCTGAAATGGCCAATTTAATTATTTTATTTTTGCCCTTATTTTTACGCTCTAATTCCCGAAACAGCCCGGAAAGCGTGTGGAATAAATCCAGTGTTTAGTTCAGAATTTTTCTTCCATGTGGTTGTTGTGGCATTTCTATCCAAGAGAATAATGGCCTTATTCATTAAAAACAAAATAGATTTAAAGAGCTTTATAAACAGACATTTTCATATCAGTTTTCAATTTATTAAATATTTAAAGTCTCTTTAATTTTTTGTTTGGTGCAAGTTATATAACGAGTGCGTAAATACACATAGTCATACATATAGTTTTTTTAATAATATCCAAATTGTAATCAGATTTACTTTTTTATATTCTGGTCATATTTTTCCAGATTTGCGTGCATGCCACTCAATCGAGATATACAGACAAAAAATCAGGATATGCGAGATTCTTTAAACCAGCGGATGCTTCAATGAAGGAGCCAATGCATAGAAGAGAAAATGCCATGGAGAACTTTTTCAGTCTGTGAACACGATAAGAAAATCGCACGGTAAATGACTGACCAATGATACCAAGTCTTACTTCATGTCAAACTCAACGCTTCAAAAGCTCAGCTGAAGGTTTCTCGGATTAATCGGAATATTTTAAAAAATTTTCTTAATTAGAGTTATTGATGTTTTATGTATTCTCGAAAAGTTTGCACAATGATTTTCATGTTACAAAAATACTGGGGCCAGCGTAGCCGGAGTTGGACTGAGGAAGGTTATTTTTTTGAAGCGCGGCCGAAGTTCAACTTTGGCGCCGGCTCGTTGCCGACAAAGACGCTGGAAACTCGTTCGAACCGCTTGATATTTGCAATCGAGAAATGTTTCCGAATGCTCATCAAATCTTACAAGTGAATGTTCTTTTTAAACATTAGGTTGTTTGAAAAAGTAGGTATTTAAGATTTAACGATTACTGAGGGTCGATGGGACGTACTGGCCGCGCTTAACATTCATTCAGATCTTAGCGTTCAAGATGCGGTGGAAGAGTTTTTTGCGCTACTGTCTGTTGAGGCTTCTGTTGGTGAATCTGAATCAGAGAAAATAAAAATATGGCTGATGTACGTTGGAACAATCTTTCAACCTGCAAAACTTCGGTAAACGTAAAACAGAGGAACTTTTCTTCTCTCTTCATTCTTTGAAACCCATTTCGTCGCATAACAGACTATCAGCGTCTTATGTATTTAAGTTCTTGTTATTTTTTCAGTTCCCTCTTACATTTTTTATACAATTTATGCGTTGCATCTCTCTTTACAGTCAATTTCAAGTAGAAAATCTCAAATTGAAGAGAAATAAAAGCAGATAAAGTAAAAAGCATTTGCTGGAAACCGCATTATTGAGGTCAGAGAAAGGCGCTGCGCGTGCAGTGTAGAAAAGGTTAAAAGGGCGTTTTTGGGGCAAATGTTTTGTTTTAGTTTCTGTTTTAATATAGTTTTTTCCCCCCCCAATATTTTGCTCCTTATTAGCCTTTAGTTGATACTCATATAAGTATGCTTGACAATGCTCACAATTTCTTTTTAAATGGAAGAAAATGCCCAGCAGCGCCAACAAAAAAAAAATTATGAAATTCCACGTAATTTTCTAACGAATTTCTGAATAAAAAGTTTAAAAAATTTAAGGGATTTTGTTAAAATTTGTTGAATTTGTATAATTTTTGTACAAAGCTAACTTTTTCCCAATATTCGGAAAATTCTTAGTTATGGAAATTTATTTCCATGATTTGATTCTGAAAATTATTTTGACAAAAATTTTAATAAAGTTTGAATCAAAACTGATATTCAAACTTTTCTACGATTATTTTTCATACCAAAAATTGTTCCTTTTGTTTGAGAACAAGTTGCCGCTCTAATTGAGGTAAACTTGAAAATCAAGATTGGATATTGGAATATGTATTGGACGTTCGCTTGACCTATTTTTACTGGTTAAAAATAGACATTTATATGCATTGACTCAAACCGCATTTTGCAATGTTTTTCTAGTAAAGGGGGTTTTTTTTGTTATTTTACGGGACATAAAACCACATACCTCAAAATGATCTAAAAACTCATATTAAAAAATTTGAAATTTGGAAGAAAATTTTTTGAATTTGTTTAAATTTTGTAAAAAGTAGGTAGCACGAATAATTTGCTTATAAAACAATTTAACAACAAAATTTTAACTTGAAAAAGCATTGTGAATGTTAAAAAATAATAGCCATTTGAACGCTTGTTTGAGCCACTGTATATAATTTTAGCTATGTAGTGCGTCAATTTAGTCTACATAATATGACTTGAAAAAAAATATATATATAAAAAATTTATAAAACAGTCAATTTTGTGTTTAATTCATTACCAACTGGTTTATATTTTTTGCTTCGTATATTTCAGTAAGTGGCACCAGCATGAGCACGTATTTTTTATTATTTAATTAGAGAAATCGTAAAAAAATTTATAAAATAAAATTAAAAATAATTATTGGACGTAGAAGTAAATCAGGTTTTAAGAAAATTGATACGATATAATACTATGTATACATTATAAAAGTTGATTTACCATATTGCAAACGTATTAAGGCTAGACTAAGCAAAAGTGTAAGCGTTACATATTTTATTTCTATGGCAACTGATTTATAGACATTATAAAATTGTAGCAGACCAGTGTCTGGCCATTATGGATATTACAAAAAAGAAATAGTATGGCGGTTCTTTATTAGAGCAACAGAAGGCAAATCAAAAAATTTTTAGAATTTTTGTCTGTATGTCTGTACGTCCGACTTTATATTTGTACGCGCATCACTCGAAAACTAAAGCATGTAATTGAATACAGTTTTCACCGATGTATTGCTAGGGATCTAACTTACAATATGGAAATGAAAAAATTATACAGTTGCCACCTGTATGAAAATTGCAGTTTAAGTAATAATGGTTACAGTCGAAAATATTTTTATGGAATTGATAAAATAAATTGAATAATGCAGTAGGGGTATCAAAATAAAGAGGATTACGAAAGTTTACTGTTGACAATATTTTTTTAGCGGGTTGCCACCTATTTGAAACAATTTTTTTTTAGTTAAAGTGATACGATAAGTTAAATACTGAATTAATATACCTTCGAGAAAAGAGCACAATATATAGAATCGAGTTCTAAGAGTAGCAATAAAATTTCCAAGATTAAATACCTTCGAAAATATATTAATTAACACCCTTATTCATAAAAAATAAAGTTTGCTTCATAAATCAAAAATGTGTTTGAAAATTTCACTTCACAAAGCTTTTAAAATCTATTTTATTTTTTACGAATGAAGCCATAAAAGTTTTGGGAGGGAGTAACAACACAACAATACTTTTAATGGGTAGCGAAGTACGCCGGGCATTTTCTAGTTGTGGATACAAAATAAAAAGCAGTAAAAATAATAAAAATTAAGCTGAAGAGCCACCAGAGTTTATTTTGTTCAGAAGAAAAAAATAAAATTGATCAGTATTTTTTTTTTTCTGGGGACTGGTGACCATCACTTACGCTGCTACTATGTAGATCAGGCTTGCAAGAAAGGGTACTTCCGAAGCACTTTCACTACTAGACTGTAAGGGGACAGATAAAGCGGTCGCTTCAAGTAAAGGTATTAGTAAGGAAACATTTTGTTAAGGAAGTAGGTAAGAGGCAACTGAAAAAACCAATCTGGACTTGAAGGAAAAAGAAAAAGATCAAAAGATAATCTCACTCTCAAACCAGGCGAAATTTCGTACATGCCCGTTGATGAATTTTTGATATTTGTTTGTATCGAAAATTAATTCTGGATATCTGTATGTTTTTTGTAAACATTTTTCTTAATTTAATTTGCGTCATGCATTAATTATCAAATTCTTGTTTCTTACTACATTACTGCCATTTTCATAGCCAACAGGCATACATATGTACATATCACCTGTAATGCAAAAAGACGTAACAAACAAACATCGTCGCTGAAATGCAAAAAGTCGTGACTTATAAAAATTAAAAATTCACTTTTTGATTGCTATGATGGATTTCATCGAATTACGAGTCGCCACTTCGTTTTATGAAAAAAAAAATTATTACATAGTTACGACTTTTTTTTTCATTTCAGTGACGATGTTGTTACGTCTTTTTCCATTTCAGGTGACGATATGTATGCATATTTTTTTAAATTTTATATTTTTCGATAGACGTATTATTTTTACAAATGTTATCAATAATTACAGCAAAACTTTCCAGTTGATTTACAATACATCCAAAACAAATAAATATGTAAATAAATAAGTAAGCAGCAAATATGTAAGTGTCATTTAACACACAAGTTTAAAGTCCAAGCGATTTTCATATGTTCTCGTGCTAGCTTATGTATGTACATTCATACATACGGGTTTATTAAATTTCCAGCTTAGCATGGAGCGAGCTAAAAACGCGTAAAAAGCAAACAAAGGCGAATCAAGTTTGGAATGTAACAATACAATTGAGTACACTGCTTTATTTCATTTGGAAAAGAAGCATTCTTATGTGACTTGGTGCGATGCATGTATGCGTACATACATATGTTTGTAAACATTAGACTGGCGCACACTCCATTCACAAAAAAAAACCCAAAAACTAATCATAAAAACGCCACTGTGGTGTAGTGGTTAGCTGTGCGCGCTTCCGCTCCGCAGGGCCTGGGTTGAAGCCCTGGTCGAAGCAACATCGCAAAAAAAAAAATATAGAAAAAACCTTTTTTTCTTAACAGCGGTCATCCCTCGGCAGGAAATGGCAAACCTCCGAGTGTTTTTCGGCCCTGAAAAAGAGCTTCTCATAAAAAGACAATTTTTTTTTTTAACTCTTTAACATTTTTCTTTATAGATTTTAAATTTAAGATACGTGGCCACCCTATCAATATATATACAAGTTATAGCCTATGTCCTATTCTGATGTAAAACATATAATTCTGGATATTTTACCTAAACTACACATTCAACTTCTTTTGAACTGTTAGATAGCGGGTAACCGTATTTCTAACAGTGTGTACAGTGTAAAGCTTTTCAAACCCCTTATTTAACGGAGGATAAGGGAGTAACTTTGAAAACAAAAAATAAATCATTTGCTGAGCACATCCAAAGTGTGTAATTTTTTACAGATTACATTTAACTTATTAAATAGTTTTAACTTAGACAGGTGGCAACCCTTTGAAAACGCCTAAAATTTCTTCTAAATGATCAAACTGAAGAATTTTAAAACTCTTTTATTTGACACTCATACGTATATTTTTTTTCAAATATTTAATATAACATGGGAATAATTTAACCACATTCGACTTTTCGAGAAGGTGGCAAAAGTATTCTCAAACTGAAACTTTCTCAAACCTTTGCCGTCTGAAAGTGTGATATATATTCTAATTATGTAATGAATTAAGTTTCATTTGACTTTTCACTGGTGGCAACTCTCTCCAAAGGTAAAGCGTAAAAAATTATCATTGGACAATAACTGTCCAAACAAGGTAAAGAAGTAAATCTTGGGTTATAACTCTTATGGACGAGATAAAAAATATTTTTCATCTAATAACTCATTTTTCCGTAGATGAGCAGAGTTTTTGTGATTTCATAATTGGTTGAAAATTACGGCCAAAACCGTCGTTTAAACATTTTCAAATTGTGTATATATGTTGCTGCAACATGTTCAATTTGACATGTTTCGCCTGTTGTTTCACTGCACATTTGAAATTAAGCTTTGAAATAAACATAAATACGAAGATGAAGAAATAAATGATAACGATGAAGTCAAAAAAAAAGAAGGCAGAAGTGAAGATAAAGGCGAAAATGGAGACAATGACAGATACATAAGAATTAGGGTAACTGAAAGGGTAAGAACATTTCTTGAATTTATGAAGTGAAACTTCTTTAGCGGCAGTTGGTTGGTTGGGAGTAAATTGTCAAATTCAAGGGGAATAATGCACATGGAAATTTTTCTCAGGGGTTTAGCGGATTGAGAATAAAAACAAAAACAAAGATGCCTAGAGGTACAGGCAAAACGAAGATCAAAGTAAATCTAAACAATTTAAGGTAAAGGTGAAGAGGAATATGCAAAAATAAAGATAAATATGAAGAAAAGGATGAGGATGAAGATCGATATTGTTATCGATATAAAACTCGATATTCTTATCGATATAATAATCGATATTGCTATTGACAAAATAATCGATGTTGTTATCGATACTGTTATTAATTAAATAACCGCTATTGTAATCGATATAATAATCAATATAATAATCGATATTGTTATCGATACAATAATGGATATTGTTATCGGTATAATAATCGATTAAATAATTGATTTTGTTGTTGATTTAGTAATTTATATTGTTAACGATATGTACAATAATCGATACTGATGATTGTTATATTTATCGCTGAATTAATCGATTTTACAATCGTTGTATTTTTCTATATGTGTATGGATATTGTTATCGGTATTTTTATCAACACAGTTATCAACAGGGTTATCGATACACTAATCGGAACATGGAATGTGATCACATTACATCACATCACATCACATTTTATCACATGATATGAAGAGACATCACATGATATTACATCACATAATATGATATCACATCACACGATATCACGTGACATGACATTAGATGATATGACATCACATTATATGGCATGACATCACATGACATGACATCATATGATATGACATCACATTATATGGCATGACATCACATGACTTGACATCACATGATATGACATCGTATGACATGACATGGCATTACATGACGTGGCATCACATGATATGACATCATATGGTATGACATCATATGACATGACATCAGAGGATATGACAACACATGACATGACATCCTATCACATCACATAAAATCACGTCACATCTTATCACGTCATCGCACCTCATCTCATCTACGTGAATAGAAAAAGAAAAGGATATAAGCAAAGATGTGAAGGATAAAAACAAAGATGAAGACCAAGGTAAAGTTACCGATTTCAAAACCAGAAACACCGTTGGAAAGTAATTTTCTGTAGATGAGGAGAGTTTTTATAGTTTCGAAATTGGTTGAAAATCGCTGTTTAAAAATTTCCATATTTCTTAATGGTTGTTTTTGCTNTTTATGACTGCATATCGAATTTAATCGTCTTAAATGAATGTAACGAGTTATCAAAATGTTTAGATAGTTTTCGAAAAATGTGGAGATGTCAAAAGTAAAAATTTATAAAGTTTTTACATTTTTAAGTTATCGAAATTTATCGAGCCATCGAATTTCACAGTTATCGAAATTGGTCGAGTTAACGAATTTCGTTGAGTTATCGAATTTTAGTGTTCTTGCAATTCATCGAACTATCGATATGTATTAAATCATTGAAATTTATCGATAAACTTGAATGTATCGGGTCAATTCCAAGTCCTGCCGAAGTCCTCCAAAGACCTTCTCAGATAAAAAAAATGTTGTTACGTTTTAGCAGAAGATTTTCCGGTTAGTTAATTTGTACCGTATAAGTTTTGCTACGTGTTAAGTTAGAAAACCTATCCAAGGCTTCTAAAATTAGAAAAACTGTCGAATTTCGACAGTAACTGGCACTCTAGTACATAAATAATTGGCGACCAACTTTTTTGGTCGAACATCCTAGTACTTATATTTTTTGTATTTACTTAAATCCATATGGCATATGAGTCAAGCAAAGAACAAAGCCGAGTCAATGGCAAGTAGAAGGCAAGAATAAATGTATACAAGCAGAAATCATAACCACTTATATCAGTGTATTTCTTTGGACTTCTTTGTGCATACATATATATATGTACGTATATGCATGTACATTAGGGTGGTACAAAAAAAAGGCATGCGAAAAAGTAAAGTCGGAATTTTTATGTTCTCACTCCTTAGGGTGGTTCTATACCGAAAAAAATAAACCCTAAGATTTTTTATTTTGAAATCAAAAAACATTTAGAGATCGATCAAAGCGCCCAAAGTTTTCCATATAGTTTATATGGGGAAAAAACAACTTTTCGTAGAAATGGTGTAGAGTTGTTAAAAATCAATATTTTTCCACCAGAAAACCCCGTTTATCTGCATTAGATTCCTAATAATAATACCCAATTGTTTATTTAATCATTTTTTCTTTAATTTATAGGTTCGCCAAAAAGCCCACAAAAACCCCGAAACATGCAATGGGGCGACCAATAAAAAATAAATAATTGGGTATTATGTATTATAGAAAGTCTCCTGAAGAGAAACAGAGTTTTCCGATCGAAAAATATTGATTTTCAAGAATTCTATAAAATTTCTACGAAAGATGTTAATTTTCCCATACAAAAATACATGGAAAACTTTGTGCGCTTTGAGTGACCTCTAAATATTTTTTGATTTCAAAATAAAAAAAAATAGGGGTATATTTTTTTTCGATATAGAATAATCCTAGGGGGTGAGAGCATTATAATTCCGACTTTACTGTTTTTGAACCACCCTAATGTACATACATAAGTATATCCGTGCTTGCATTAAAATATTGTTATCATACAAAATGAGTCGAACGACAGTGCGCGTATCTCAATTCTGGGTAGACAGCAAAAACAGGTTGAGTAGATTGCATGTATTTTATTTGCACGGGAGCGAAGACTACACCAAAGCCTCACTTAATATGAAAGAAGTAAATAATATAAAAATCATGTGCATGTAGGTATATTAAATTCAGTATGGACACAATCACGTTTATTTGCGCTGGAACGTATGAAATATTTATTCTCATTCCCATTCCCTGGCAATTTAACCAGCGCTCATATTGACCCTATGGACTTTATGAACGCCGCTTATCAGCAAATAATAAAAAATAAATTTTCTGCCAACATATACATACATACTCAGTATATACTATCAGTTAATATTTTTTTCTATTTTTTTTGTTTAGTTATGTTACGACTAAACGAATTTTCCTTGGCGTACAAAACTCTTGAAGCAAATTGGTCACACTTAAAATAAATGTACGAGTCCACATGCATTGTAAATAGACTTTGCTCTGCTGTTATCTATTCTTCGATTACGTATTGCCGATAAATTTTGGTTTATTTGCTTGCATCTTTTTCTAATTGCTTGAAAACATTTGTATTAACACATTCTTACTCTTTTATGGCTTTCACAAGGCTATGTTAAATGAGTTTATTGTTATTGGCGTGTGGTTAGCTATCCTTCATTTTATGCCCAACCGGATATCGATTATTTGAATTGACTATATTTTACAATGTTCGTCTTTAATGATAAAGACGAAAAGAGCCGAAAGTTGCAAAAGTTGTACAGTGGCCAACATTAAATTATTTAATTTTTGGCGTTGAGTAAATATTTATAAGGGCTAACAAGGTTAAAAAAAATTCCAATTTTATAAATTTCCAATTTTTGTTTTTACAAAAGCTTTGAAAGTTCGCAAAAAATGCAAAAGTAATTCAAAAAGTTTCAAAAGTTTTCCATCAGAAATTTTATAAAATTTTTGGGTATGTAGATAGTTACTTACTAGGCTTATGAAATTTTTATAAAATATGTGCAAGTTTAAAGCTGCACTGATTTAATTTTTTTAGGGCTTTTGCGGGTTTTTCATATAACAAGTGCAATTTATGAAAACTGGCGTTGTTTTTTTTAATTTTTTTCACAAACAATCTTACGCAAGTTTATATGGAAAAAACTAAAAAAGCAAAATTTCAATTCTACACACAAATTAAAGACATCCACAAAAAAAAATCAAAATTTTAGCACAATTTTTAGTTGTCGCTACCAGGGATTGAAAATATTGAATGTTGACAATTTTGATATATTTTGTTGACATAGAAAAAATTATTTGTTTTTGTTATTTTTTTGGCCTTTATAACAATTATATTCAACAATTTATTTTGAGCTCGAGGCCGTTTTAAATGAATTTTTTATTTATTTTTTTATTATGGAAAAGCAACAATAATTTGAAAAAATGGTAGAAGTGATAGCTATTTCGGAAATCACCACATTTCCTCATCAGACTTCTTTCAGTAGGATTCGAACCGACGATCCCACTGACTCAGTCAGAAAAATTTAGAAAAATACGATTCGAAAGAAGTCCATATTAACTCTCCCCATGGATACATCATGAAATATTAAGTTCTAAAAAGTGTCTTTTGTTTAAGTTTTTTCGAAATAAATCCAGCATTTTTTTCAAATTTTCCTATGATCCAAATAACACTGCATGGCAAACATTTCTTGAAAACTACGAACAAATTTGTGTAAACGGGGGGGAGTTGTTATGGACTTCCTCAGCTCAAAAATTATAATTTTTTCAATGGTAACTTAATTATTTTCCAACCCTGGCAGCGACCCTTAAAATTATTTAAAAACTTTAAATATTTCTTCGATGTTTTTACACTGTACGTACTTAGAACGAAATGAAGCGGTTTTCAATACAAAATTTCTAGGCATACATTTTGGAAAGCACCGTAATAAATATTTTTGAAAGTTCTCTGTCAAAATCGTGTAAAAACTTACTTGTAACCGGAGAGTATATTGAGCAAGGTACTTTTCCCAGCACCGGATGGTCCCATGATAGCTGTAAGCTCGCCGGAGCGCAAGCGACCACTGACGCCTTTGAGTATAGTCTTGGCATCTGAAATTAACGAAAAACAAAAATGAAATTATAAAAAAGCTTAACAACATTAATATTTGATATTTTATACTTTCATGAGCCGATAAAAATCTTATAATTCAAAAATCTCTATATAGTAAATTGCATGTTTTACTCTACATCAACTATAGAGCTTGATATTTCCGCCATTGAAGCCATGCGTATTGGTGAAAGCACGGCATCCGTGCGCGAATCCAATGAAAACAATTACAGCTGTTTCTTATCCAACGCAATTTACATACATACATTAAAAAAAAAAAACGGACCCGTTATCGAATGCCGTAATCACAAAATGACATTTCGAATGAAGTTTCCCTCGATCACGGATGACGTGTTTCGGGTCCAGGCCTGCCTGCATATCTGAAAGGTGAGATAGTCACCTAATTATTAGTGCGCCATTTCTTCGCTCCACTTCATGCAAAACTTGCTATTTGAAATTGACAAATTTTTTTTGCACTTAATACCCAGTGAATTGGTATTTGCATATATAATAACATACAAATTAACAGTGAATGTAAATAAAAAAATATAAAAACAGCAAACTTCGTTAAGTCCTTTTTTTTTAATATTTTTATTGAGCTTTGTACCACGATCGTTTATTAGGAAAATTTGAAAAAGCAACAAAGTCTAAGTTAAGTCCTAGTCAACAAGCAAATAAAAAAATGCTTCTGCTAACGCAATCAAAATCAAAAGTCACAATTAATTGAACTGTATTGAATGGACAAAAGCCAATGGTCATCACTAGGGTCAATGGCCGTCACACACACACAGCACGATATGCCAACACGTTTACATATCTACATACATACATACATACAAATTTACCTACATAAATGTACAATACACAAAATGACAGACATGCATTCGCGATATATGCATACACTTAATTTTTGACTTGCGAATCGAGTGCACAGGGAAGAGTGTTGAAGAAAGCGCGCAACTGCAAAAGCACTAACGTAAAAAAAATAGCTGATTTTATAACGTAAAGCAAAAGAATTGAAAAAAAAAATGTATGAATGCAATGCTTTGCACAATTTAGTTTGCTGCACTTGCATTTTAAATAATGTCACTGCTGTTGTTGGGGGTTTTTTGGGCTGCCTGGGTGAGTGGTAAGCTGCCATGAATTGGTGTCAGTAGTTTATATGTATGGCGGGGGGAGGGCTGTGAATGAGGTGTTTTCATTCGACGCCGCGAAAATTACACATAAATACATACGTACATATGAAAACGCTTACAAGCATAGCAAAAGTTCAACCACAAAAGTTCAATCACATTTTCCAAAATCGCACGAATTTCCGGAAATTTATTGATATTATTCTTTTGGTGACTTAAGCGCTGATTATAATATTTTTTTTTGTTTTTTTTTTTTTGTTTTCTGTTTTTAAGGACCTTGAGCGCGGTTGATGGTGTCGTCACATTTGACGTGCTGACAGCCACATAGCACACACCACAAATTTGTTCACCATTTTTTTTTTTTGTTTGTTTATTCAATCTACGTCCAATCCAACACATTATTTACGAGCGTATTTTTTTGTTTTTGTTTTCTTAAAACAGTGTTGCATGCGATTTTTCCACTACGTAGCTGATCGGCTAATTAAATGGCTGATTGACTAAAAATAAGTAGCCGCTTACATACATACATACATACACACGAATTTTTACGAGTATGCTAATTACTATGGCACACACACACATTTTATTTGTGATGTGATGTATGTATGTTTGTATGTTTGACGTGCGTTTCGGCTTAGTGTGTGCCATGCATTTCTATTAGTCTAAGCGATTTATTTGAATTTCTTTCACTCTCATTTGTGTGTGCGTGGCGTCATTAAATACGCGTCGGCAATAAATGCCGGTGAATTTAAGTGAATACGTAAAAGTTACAAAAAAAGGGTAAATAAGTAAATAAACTATTGTATATCTACTTGTGTTTTTCCACGTTTTATAGCTGCTACCAAGCGAGTAGCTTTGGCGCCTGTGTTTACATTAGACAATGGCTTTTGGATTAAATTCAAATTAAGTTATATACACGCCTACTAAATTGTATGTAAAAAAATATTTGTGGTAAACGCTGCTCTTGGCTTTTTACATAAGTAATTGTATAGGTAAGCGATGAACTGCGAATTACATTTCGATATTTTGTGTGCCCAAGACACGTGCCTAAGGTAGCGTCCGAGTTCGGAAGTTTAAGGGAGAAGGTTTGTTTACCTTTCCAGTTTTTTTTTTTTATTGTCAGGTGTCCTCAAGTGCGTGCTCCTAATTTGGCAATACGAAAGCTAAATAAATTAAATATAAAGTGGGGAGTATTTAAAAATTATGTGGTGTAGTATAAAGTAGGCTTCCTCAAGCGAACCATAAAATTTGATGTCTGGGAAAATGGCATACGGTATGACGCCAAAAGACAAAAAAAAAGCTTTTCTGAATAGCTTTTCAATAGTTCTTGAGTTCTTGAAAAGGCAAAAAGTTGTGGATATTTTGACAAAAAAAATTATTATTTTTTTTTAAATTTTGAATACCAAATTCACACAGTATACGACATGTAGCTGAAAGGTAAATAAAAAAATTGTTCGGAGGAAAAAAAGTGCTGCGAAATTACGCAAAAAAATTATTTCCATTGTAGATATGTGTAGGTATGTATTAGGCTGGGTCTATTTTGTATGAGGGAAAATAAAAAGCATTTGACCGTATTGTGATAGTAATATTATGATGTCTTAGGTCTAAACCAATTGTTATTGGCTACGGATGACTAATTTAAAACTTATGTTTAGCCCGCGCAATTGAATCAAAGTGTGTGAATTTTGAAAATGAAACTTTGGCTTTTAATATATATGAAATGCGTTAATTGTTATAAACAGGACGGTATATGAAAGTAAGGGTTATTAAATTTAGTACCTTACGTTTATTTATCATTTTTCAATAAGTCTACAAGTTTTTAAGATATTATGACAGAACTTACAAAAACTATAATTTTCCCTTATGAATTTTCAATTCTTCATTACTTTATATGAAAGTAGAGGACTTGCAATAAGTGTTTAGATATACATAAATATTTTAGTTAGTTTCATTATGTGAAAAAAGTGACTGCAGGTGAATGCAATAGTCTTTAACATATCCTGGGAAATCCTTTTGAGGACTCCCCCATTGGACGATATTGCGTTGCATTCAGCTTGAACGGAAAAAGTCACTCGCTGGCACAGTTTTCTGTAATCCGGTTCTTTTATTTAAAGGTTATTTATACAATTGAAGAGAAATTTTTTTAGAAAAAAACTGGAGATCCACTTAAGTTTTTCGATATAACTTTGGTAAATGTTACTCGATCGGTACGTAATAATTACCAAATTGAAGGCGAGACTTACTGTTACTGATTTCTGATAATAATATGATGACACTCGTTTAGATTATAAACAAATTTTTACAAAATAAAAAAAAAATGTTGAACAAAATTTTTTTGTAATTCAGTTCAGTTCAGTTCTTGTGTTTCCATACTCATTTGCATAAACAAAATTGTTCCACGATGATGGAAAATAATGGCTTTTCTATTAGAGCTACCGAAATTGTTCCTAAAGAAGACGAAAGTGTACACTATAATTCTTAACCAAATTTTCGAGATTTGCCTTTGATGTTACATATATATTTGCTTCAATAATTTAAAATGGGGCTATTTGGGGAACTGATTTTTAGCAAAAATTAAAAAAAAAAAAAACAGTAATATTTTTTTACTTGTCGGGCAATACTTTTTTCATAGGGATATACATTGGATCCTTGGCTAAAAACTTCTGTGGTAAAATTGCCCCTTCTTTGCTATTCAAAAAATCAAAGAGTAAGCTCCTTAAATAGGGATTCCCAGCAGAAATGATAAACGTCTGGCCATAAAGAGAATCGATGCTCAAGTAATTAAAAAACTATAGGTCTGACCTTTAATAAGATAAAAATTATGAGAGATTCAAATGCTTATAAAAACAACAGGGTGTTTTTGTTTGTAAATAATAATATTCTGATTCGATTCGGCTGGCAGCCACGACTTTGAAAACAGAATTTTGTTCAAAATTTCATTCCTGGAAAATAATAATTAATTTTTTATATACACCTAGGTATTTAGCTCGCTATAAGCACAAATTTTTCAAACCAGTCAAAGAAGGAAGTATTAAAAATAACAGAACAGAGGAATACATGCGAGTCACAGATTTTTGGTTTCTTTTTCTTAAACGGAAGTTTCTTTAAAATATTTAACAATTAAGGGCACTTACGTACTCTGCTAAGTCTATGCCTATTTTTTTTTTAATTGGAATGCGTCGCGTGTTTGTTAATTCAAAAGTCAACCACAGTGATTAATCGAAAATATTTAGTAACAAAAACAAAAAAAAAATACACTTAAAGTAAACAAAATAAATGCACGCCATGATCTGACAACTCTAAAGAGGCAGATGCTGACTGTTGAAAATGTAAAAAAATATAATACATATAACAAAAAAGAAACAAAAAAACAACAAAAAATAAATAAATAGACACCAGCCACTTAGCGTCAGTGAAGATGCGGAAGCGCAATGCCTCGAATTCCGATAAACTTCAAATAACCAACTTTAAATTTGCCTTATAACAAAGTGGAATGCTAAGTAGTCTGGTAAATATAAAAAATGAAATCGACGGCATGGCTGAAGAGATATTCGTAAAATCACAAAACCAAAAATAAAAAAGAAACCAATTTAAAAAAAAAATAAAATTCAAATTAATGTAGCTTTGTGCATACATACATATTTATTGAATATGGCAATAATTGTTGCTTTGAATGGGAAGGAAAAAAACACAAATATAAAAAAAAGAATTTCACATAAATTATTGCGCTTGCCCGTTATTTGCGCGGTTGTTGTGAGTGTCTAAGACAATCAAAAATCGCAAAGCCGGTAATGTTTTGGTTTGGGTGCGAATTTCGTGCTGTACACGCTGCCGGTAGTCTTTTTTTTTCCTTCCTTTTCTTCTAATCT